CTGAGGTAGACGTTCGATGGCTTCATCGTTGGTGGTGGATGGACGGTTCAGCATGCTGTCAAAATGTTCTGCCCATCTCTCTAGAATTTTCTCCTTGTCTGTGAGCAGCGTTGACCCATCTGCACTGAGGAGTGGTGATGTGCCAGAGGTGGTAGGGCCATAGATTTCTTTCAGGCCCTCATAGAAGTTCTTCATATCGTTTCTGTCTGCAAAGCACTGAATCTCACCGGCTTTGTTGCTTAGCCAAGAGTCTTGCATTTCACGCATTTTTCGCTGGGTATTGCTGCGTATGTTTCTCAGTGCATCTTGCTTCGCTGTGGACTTTGGGTCGTTGATGTGGGCCATGTAGGCCTTTTGTTTCTCTTCCAGCAGCTGCTGGATTTCTGTGCAGTGTTCGTCGAACCAGTCCTTGTGCTTCCTGGTGACGGGTCCTAGACACTCCATGGCTGTGGTGTACACTGTATCACAGAGTGCGATCCATGCTGCTTCGACGTTTTGAACGTCCAGCACGACGGACTCCAAGCAGGTTTCCATGATTTCTGCAAAGGACTGCTTGACGTTGTGGGCCTTAGGCTTGCCGACGTTCAGGCGTTTTGGTGGTTTCACGCCCTCAGGGCATCTCCTGGGCTGGACACGGAGCTTGAGTTTCGAGACGATGAGGCGATGGTCTGTCCAGCATTCCGCGCCGCACACGGCCCTCGTGACTCGTACATCCTGCCTGTCCCTCTTCCTGACGATGACATAATCAATGAGATGCCAGTGTTTGGAACGTGGGTGCATCCATGATGTCCTGTTGCGGGTAGGGAGGCTGAAGACGGTGTTGGTGATCAGAAGGTCGTGCTCGGCGCAGGTCTGAAGGAGCAGCAGGCCGTTGCTGTTGCAGCTGCCCACCCCATGCTTTCCGATCACACCTTCCCAGGCGGTGCTGTCACGACCGACTCTCGCATTAAAGTCACCAAGGATGATGAGCTTATCTGTGCCAGGGACAGTGGTGATGACGGCGTTCAGGTCTTCATAAAACTTGTCCTTAACCTCGTCTGGGTTGGTCATGGTGGGGGCATAGGCGCTGACAATAGTTGCAAACTTCTGTCCGCAGGACAAGGGGATTCTCATCGTCATAAGGCGATCGTTCACTCCTTTTGGGGGGTCAGCCAGCTTGCCAATGAGGGATGACTTCACTACAAAGCCAACTCCTGCCTCCCGTCTCTCCTCGGCTCCTCATCCGGACCAAAAGAAGGTATAGCCTGCTCCTCTTTCGCAGAGTTCGCCCTCGCCAGCAAGTCTAGTCTCATTTATGGCAGCGATGTCAATGCTGTATCTGGCGAGTTCGTTCGCAATGAGTGCTGTACGTCTCTGAGGCCTGTCTGAGTCGTCCCTGTCGAGAAGCGTACGGACGTTCCTAGTGGCAAGGTTGAGAGGTGTGATCTTGGTTTTCTTCTTTGATGTCTTGTAGTTTCGACCTCATGTAGAAGGGTGCCCGCCAACCGCGGTAAGCTGGCTAGGGTTTCATGGAGCAGGCAATGTTTGGGACACCTTTTCTAGTCCGTTCCTCATGCCATGGAGGTGAGCAGTGCATTCCTGAAGAGGGCTGCTCAGTCACTCAGACGGCTGCCGGACTCCACCGCTGCTCCGGTCGGTAAAGAACGACCCTATGGTCTGAGCCGCCTGTGTGCAGGTCCGCGGCTACGACTTCCAGTGTACCCACACCTGTCACTTCGTCGCTCGCCCGTCGCCACAGGTCTTGGGTGATGAGGTGGGATAAAGGATGACTGATGACATGCGCTGTGACTTTGCTTAAAGTAAGGAAGAGTTGAGCAGCGTCGACCTCACTCTCTCGTCCGGAGCCATCTGAGGCCAGTGGCAAGACAAAGTCGAGACGACTGGAGATGGGATCGGATGCAGTGGATGGCCAGGATGTCCTTAGTGCCTCATCGTGCCCTTAGCGCTCCACAACGCCTGTCGAAGCCGTTGCCCGGGGTGTGGCTGCTGTCGCATGCTAACAGCTACTTGGAGCCACAAGTGAGAGCTGGGCATCAGGTGGGGACCAAAAGCTGGCGAGCTGCCCCGAGAAGGGCACGACAAGCTCCCCCATGCCAGAGGTACTACCCCTCCCTGAACACCCTAAACACCCCTTAGGGTGTTTGGGGTGTACAAGCATATAAATATACACACCCCTCTGGGCTTTCTGCTATTTTCTTTCTAGTTCTTGTTCTTGTTTATTTCCTCTAATCTCCATGGGGAAGTGGAACAGAATTCTTCCTCCGTAAGCCATGCGTGTTGTAAGAGGTGACTAAAATGCCGGGAGCAAGGGGCTAGTAACCCCTTCTCCTGTATATATTACTAAATATACAAGGAGAAACTTTCATTTCTCCTTTTGGGCCACCCCGCCTCAGTGGGATACGGCCTGTGTGTTGAAAGAAAGAAGAAAGAAGTCCGTTGAACATACCTGGTAAAGTGTATGGTAAAGTTATTACTGAAAAAATTAAGAGTAAGATGGAGAGCAGGACAGCAGATGAACAAGGAGGCTTTAGGAAAGGTACGGGGTGTATAATCCAAGTGTTACAGTGAAACATATAAGTGAACAGTATTTAGATAAGGGTAAAGAGGTTTTTGTGGCTTTATGGATTTGGAAAAGGCGTATGATAGGGTAGACGGGGGGCAATGTGACAGATATTGCAAATGTATGGAATAGAAGGTAGGTTATTGAAAGCAGTTAAGAGTTTTTATGAGGATAGTGAGGCTCGGGTTAGAGTATGTAAGAGAGAGGGAGATTATTTCCCAGTAAAAGAAGGCCTCAGACAGGGATGTGTGATGTCATCATGGTTGTTCAATATATTTATAGATGGAGTTGTAAGAGAAGTGAATGCGAGGGTCTTGGCAAGAGGTGTGGGGTTAAAAGATGAAGAATCTAACACAAAATGGAAGTTGTCACAGTTGCTCCTTGCTGATGACACTGTGCTTTTGGGAGATTCTAAAGAGAAGTTGCAGAGGTTGGTGGATGAGTTTGGTAGGGTATGTAAAAGAAGAAAATTAAAAGTAAATATAGGAAAGAGTAAGGTGAAGTGGATACCAAAAAAATTAGGTAATGAAAGACTGGATATCAGACTGGAGGGAGAGCGTATGGAGGAGGTGAATGTTTTCAGATATTTGGGAGTGGATGTGTCAGCAGATGGGTCTATGAAAGATGAGGTGAATCAGAGAATTGACGAGGAGAAAAAGGTAAGTGGTGCACTGAGGAGTCTGTGGAGACAAAGAATTTTATTCAGGGAAGCAAAGAGGGCAATGTATGAGAGTATAGCTATACCAATGCTCTTATATGGATGTGAAGCATGGGTGGTGAATTTTGCAACAAGGAGAAGGCTGGAGCCAATGGAGATGTCATGTTTGAGGGCAATGTGTGTGGAGTGAATATAATGCAAAAAATCTGTAGTTTGGAGATCATGAGGTGTGGGATTACCAAAACTATTATCCAGAGGGCTGAGGAGGGGTTGGCAGAGGGGTTTTTGAGGTGGTTTGGAAATGCAGAGAGGAGGGAATAAAATGAATAACTTCAAGAGTGTACAAATCTGTAGTGGAAGGAAGGCGGGGCAGGGGTTGGCCTAGAAAAGGTTGGAGGGAAGGGGTAAAGAAGGCTTTGTGTGCAAAGGGCTTGAACTTCCAGCAAGCATATGTGAGCATGTAAGATAGGAGCAAAAGAGACAAATAGTTTTTAGGACTTGACATGCTGTTGAAGTGTGAGTGAGGTAATATTTATGAAGGGATTCAGGGAAACTGGCAGGCTGGACTTGAGGGGTAAATGCGTGTACTCAGCGCGAACGAAAATTTTTTTGCCAAAAATTCACAAATTGAGTTAATCTTATAGAAAAATAGCTTAACTCTCTGGCAACACAATGGTACCAGAATCATTGTTCTACGACATTCCTACAAGGAATTATGGTCATTTAAAACACCTAGGGTGACGTCAACACCCGCAGCAGGTGTGCTCACCTGTCCTCAATTTTCATGTTTTTTTTCCGTTTTTTTCGTGTATTTATTGTATTATTCTTTCTAAGATAATAATTGATGATTTGGCATCATAATACAGTGGGTGGGACTTACACGTAGACTTACAGCCAACCAGGAACCTCCTGGCACCATTTTGCTGACATCTTGGAAAATTCCAGTCTCGGGGTGGCCGGGGAATATGCTTCAATATAACGCTATTATAGCTTCTACGGCTTATTTATCTATCACAATTGATCTAATATGACATAATAAACAATATAAATAACAAAGAAATATGGTAAATACTCCAGAATGAATAATATATGGCATATTCTCAGAGCGCTCCCTCTGGAATAATAGATTCCCATCCTCAGGGAGGGGCTTCCATTCTCCTTCTTTCACCTCCAGGGTCCTTATATTAAAGAAAACGAACATGGGGTAACTATGATATACACTCGTAATGCTGAGAAAAATGCTATTTTCTCGAAAAAAAAAAAATCGGTGGTCCGGCTGGTTCGCGGATTATCTCTGAAGTAAGTTATTCACATATATGAGCCAGTAAATTCGTTAATAATAGCAGGAATGTAATGAAATTCACAGAGAACATAAAGGAAAGATTGTTTTACAAGCAAATGGACAGTTTTTTGAGATATCATAATTTGTTTTTGATTTTTGTGAGGGTAAAAGTCAAGATACTTGGCTGAATGTCAAAAACATACAAACTTTATTTTTTTTAAGAATAAATAAAGGATAAATTACAGTTCGGAATCCATTGGAAATACAGTTTAGCATTGTTTTATGCGTAGATAATGCCAAAACAGCTTCTCCAAGTCCCATTACGAAATTACTGTTCAATATGTATGATTATTAGTAAATAATTTTTTTCTCAGTTGTTTTTTGAGCCATCTTGTTGAAACTTGGTCACATTACTATTGAAAGGTGCTTCTTTACGTACAAAAAAAAATGAAAGAAATCGAACGAAAAATAAAAAAGTTCAGTTGCGAACGTTAACTTACCCCTTGAGTCCTGGAGATGGGAAGTACAGTGCCTGCACTCTGAAGGAGGGTGTTGATGTTGCAGTTTATAAATGTAGTGTAAGCACGCCTCTGGCAAGACAGTGATGGAGTGAATGATTATGAAAGTTTGTCTTTTTCTGGCCAACCTGACTTGGTGGGAAAAAGCTGATGTGTTAATAAAAAAGATAAAAAAATGTCTAAAACACTGCTGGGACCTATAAATACTTTGTATATATTTCTTGACAATAGTTCGTCACCAAAGTGGGTGAAAATGTTCACCTGTCAGTGTGCTTATGACTATTTGATTACTATTTCGGTACCTAATATTAGTGTCAGAACAAAGATTGGCTATAAAATCACAAAAACTACTACAATTTGTAATTATCAGAACATAAAAATTAAATAGGTAAATTAAAAAACAAAACAAAAGAAAAAAAAGGTATATCGGTAACATTTCTGCAAGTGGGAGGACTCCATGTTGCCATCAGGTGCATCCAGCGCCAACTTCGTGATCTTATATCTTGGTAAGTACGGACCCTACAATTTTTTTGGGGTCTTATTACACACAATTGCCCTCTTTATTTAAAAAAAAATTAAAATATTTGGAGCACTAGCAGTAACAATGTAGATCTACACTTGGACAATTACAGAAGGAAGGGTTTGGGATATTTGTTGTTTGGGGTGACACTTAAAATGTCATATTTGAGTGCCTCTGCAAAGACAGTGATTATGTGTGAATGATGGTGAAAGTGTTTCTTTTTGGGTCACCCTGCCTCAGTGGGAGACAGCTGACATGTTAAATAATAATAATAATAATCATAATAATATAGTAACAACAACACACATGCCATTTTCTATGAAGGAAGGGTGACTTGAAGAAGGTAAAAACATACTCAGTCACTAATTTAAACTGAATTAGCAGAAATGCACAGACAGTGTAAGTCAAATGATTCACAAAACTGCAATACTTCCACCCATCTTCTACAGTGCAGGTACTGTACAGGAGACCATTATTTATCACATTTTATGCTCCTGAAAATCTCCATGAAAACATGGTAAATGCTCATGCAGTATTAAGTTAGAGTACTACCAAATATCTCAATTAGCCACTTTGTTAAGTAGCATGGCACATTTTTAGGGGGACAAGTAGCTGGCTGAGGAGTAAGTTTCCTGGCATGTATCACTGAAACACAACTCTAACTCTTAAAATCAATACATTTCTTGAACCAATTATACCTAATACTGTAAGAATACACCATACCTCAGCCAAACATGCATATACCAGAGATAAATATTTTTGATAAAGTAACACCTGAAGAAAAAATGTAGGAAGCAGTGTAAGAGATACAGGTTGTGGCCTCAGCCACAGAGAATGTGCTAGACTGCAAATCTCATTAGCCAACACCACCATAACTGAAATGTCTGTACAACTTATGATCTATACACAACCTACATGGAGTAGCGAAGAATTATGCTTCTGTAAGCCATGTGCATTGTAAGATGCGACTAAAATGCCGAGAGCAAGAGGTTAGTAACCCCTCCTGCATAAATTACTAAATGTAAAAAGGAGAAGTACAGTGTCTGCACTCTGAAGGAGGGGTATTAATGTTGCAGTTTAAAAACTGTAGTGTAAAGCACCCTTCTGGCAAGACAGTGATGGAGTGAATGATGGTGAAAGTTTTTCTTTTTCAGGCCACCCTGCCTTGGTGGGAATCGGCCAGTGTGATAATAAAAAAAAGTAAAAATAAATAAAAAGGAGAAACACTTTCATTTCTTCTTTTTTGGATCATCCTGTCTCAATGGGAAACAGCCTGTGTTAAAAAAATATCTATACACAAGGTAGATAATAATGTATTATATTTAGTGGAGAGGAAGATTTCATCCACACCACACACTCTGAAATAATATAGTGGAGTGAGACCAAGTTCCTCCTCACTAATTTACTAAATACATTCTCAACACCTTATTCATAGATTAAAAATCTAATGGAAATTATATACAGAATTCTGGTATGTGGTGGTGTGTTGGACAGTGAAATCTATGAAATCTCATATTTCATCAGGGCCAGAGCCAGCAACCAAATTCAAATACAGTGGACTGAGAGATTGTGGGTTACTTTCAAACCATACCACAGGCGGGGACTGAACTCGTGGCGAGTGAGTCGTAAAACTCACTTGCCACGAGTTCAATCCCCGCCCATAGTATAGTTTCTTTGCAATCATGTCATTATGATTTTGAGAATCATGAAGATGGTTACTTTCAACTTGTACTGCTATGTAAACAGCAGCAAGGAAACTTGCCCATATAGTTTTGTCTTGTTTTGTTACACTGCCAAATAAAGGATAAATACTACTTGGCTTTACCTAGCAATGCATGGGAATTCTCTGAGACAGTCAGCTGACTGGATGAAGTACAAGCCACTCAGTACAGTCTTTCAATCATGCATTCCATATTTCACATCCAACTATTTTGATACCGAGCTGATATATAATTCAGATATCATATACTATGGCATGAAAATTAAAAAAGTGGATATAATAGCAAAGGGGGGGATATAGTGTTGGAGTGGTTGGTACTTTTGTTTAATAAATGTATGAAAGAGGGGAAGGTACCTAGGGATTGGCGGAGAGCATGTATAGTCCTTTTATATAAAGGGAAAGGGGACAAAAGAGATTGTAAAAATTATAGAGGAATAAGTTTACTGAGTATACCAGGAAAGGTGTACAGTAGGGTTATAACTGAAAGAATTAGAGGTAAGACAGAATGTAGGATTGCAGATGAGCAGGGAGGCTTCAGAGTGGGTAGGGGTTGTGTAGATCAAGTGTTTACATTGAAGCATATATGTGAACAGTATTTAGATAAAGGTAGGGAAGTTTTTATTGCATTTATGGATTTAGAAAAGGCATATGATAGAGTGGATAGAGGAGCAATGTGGCAGATGTTGCAAGTATATGGAATAGGTGGTAAGTTATTAAATGCTGTAAAGAGTTTTTATGAGGATAGTGAGGCTCAGGTTAGGGTGTGTAGAAGAGAGGGAGACTACTTCCCAGTAAAAGTAGGTCTTAGACAGGGATGTGTAATGTCACCATGGTTGTTTAATATATTTATAAATGGGGTTGTAAAGGAAGTAAATGCTAGGGTGTTCGGGAGAGGGGTGGGATTAAATTTTGGGGAATCAAATTCAAAATGGGAATTGACACAGTTACTTTTTGCTGATGATACTGTGCTTATGGGAGATTCTAAAGAAAAATTGCCAAGGTTAGTGGATGAGTTTGGGAATGTGTGTAAAGGTAGAAAGTTGAAAGTGAATATAGAAAAGAGTAAGGTAATGAGGGTATCAAATGATTTAGATAAAGAAAAATTGGATATCAAATTGGGGAGGAGGAGTATGGAAGAAGTGAATGTTTTCAGATACTTGGGAGTTGACGTGTCGGCGGATGGATTTATGAAGGATGAGGTAAATCATAGAATTGATGAGGGAAAAAAGTGAGTGGTGCGTTGAGGTATATGTGGAGTCAAAAAACGTTATCTATGGAGGCAAAGAAGGGAATGTATGAAAGTATAGTAGTACCAACACTCTTATATGGGTGTGAAGCTTGGGTGGTAAATGCAGCAGCGAGGAGACGGTTGGAGGCAGTGGAGATGTCCTGTTTAAGGGCAATGTGTGGTGTAAATATTATGCAGAAAATTCGGAGTGTGGAAATTAGGAAAAGGTGTGGAGCTAATAAAAGTATTAGTCAGAGGGCAGAAAAGGGGTTGTTGAGGTGGTTTGGTCATTTAGAGAGAATGGATCAAAGTAGAATGACATGGAAAGCATATAAATCTATAGGGGAAGGAAGGAGGGGTAGGGGTCGTCATCGAAAGGGTTGGAGAGAGGGGGTAAAGGAGGTTTTGTGGGCAAGGGGCTTGGACTTCCAGCAAGCGTGCGTGAGCGTGTTAGATAGGAGTGAATGGAGATGAATGGTACTTGGGACCTGAGGATCTGTTGGAGTGTGAGCAGGGTAATATTTAGTGAAGGGATTCAGGGATTCAGGTAGTAGGCTGGTAGACAGCAACCACCCAGGGAAGTACTACCGTCCTGCCAGATGACTGTGAAACAGAAACCTGTAACTGTTTTGCATGATGGTAGGATTGCTGGTTTCTTTTTCTGTCTCATAAACACGCTAGATAACAGGGATATCTTGCTACTCCTACTTACACTTTGGTCACACTTCACAGACATGCACATGCATATATATATACATACATCTAGGTTTTTCCCCTTTTCATAAATAGCTCTTGTTCTTTATTTCTTCTACTGTCCATGGGGAAGTGGAAAAGAATCTTTCCTCTGTAAGCCATGCATGTCGTATGAGGCGACTAAAATGCTGGGAGCAAGGGGCTAGTAACCCCTTCTCCTGTAGACATTTACTAAAAAAGAGAAGAAGAAAAACTTTATAAAACTGGGATGCTTAAATGTGCGTGGATGTAGTGCGGATGACAAGAAACAGATGATTGCTGATGTTATGAATGAAAAGAAGTTGGATGTCCTGGCCCTAAGCGAAACAAAGCTGAAGGGGATAGGGGAGTTTCGGTGGGGGGAAATAAATGTGATTAAATCTGGAGTATCTGAGAGAGTTAGAGCAATGGAAGGGGTAGCAGTAATGTTGAAGGATCAGTTATGGAAGGAGAAAAGAGAATATGAATGTGTAAATTCAAGAATTATGTGGATTAAAGTAAAGGTTGGATGCGAAAAGTGGGTCATAATAAGCGTGTATGCACCTGGAGAAGAGAGGAATGTAGAGGAGAGAGAGAGATTTTGGGAGATGTTAAGTGAATGTATAGGAGCCTTTGAACCAAGTGAGAGTAATTGTGGTAGGGGATCTGAATGCTAAAGTAGGAGAAACTTTTAGAGAGGGTGTGGTAGGTAAGTTTGGGGTGGCAGGTGTAAATGATAATGGGAGCCCTTCGATTGAACTTTGTATAGAAAGGGGTTTAGTTATAGGTAATACATATTTTAAGAAAAAGAGGATAAATAAGTATACAAGATATGATGTAGGGCGAAATGACAGTAGTTTGTTGGATTATGTATTGGTAGATAAAAGACTGTT